GAGGCGCCGATCGCCTGCCCCCCCCGTCGCCAGATGGGGCGTGGGTGGATCCCTGCTTGCTCGGCAGAGGAGGAGGAAGCGATCGCGGGGGGGAGAGTTCCGGAGGGCGGGCTGGCCAAAGGAAAGGTTGACAAATGGGCTTAAAAATGGCAAAAGGCGATTGATGGATGATCGATTGATTGATTGATTGATTCCGTGCCATCGAGTCGTTTTCGACTCTTGGCGACCACGAAGGCGACTCCGCGATCCGTTGAGCGAAGTCTTGTTTTTTCCCACCCGGGCATTCTGACAAGATTTTGCCACCTGGGAAGGGCAGTCAAATCGCCGCACCAAGCTGGCTGGAAAGAGGGAGGCAGCGAGAGCAGGGCCCTGACAGGGCAAGAGGGGGGCTGGACACCAGCCTCGGGGTGCAATTTCGCCAGCCACCAACAGTGCTCTGAAGGAGGCAGCGAGGCACCTCTTTGCTGCTCAGGTCCTGATCAAAAGGTGCTGTTTGGAGCAGGGGGAACCCCAAGACCCAAGCCAGGATTGCTGGTTGGTGTAATTTTTGGGGGGTGGGCTTATCGCGCCAAGCAAACTCAGCCTTTGGAGTCTCTGCCCAATGATTGAACGCATGCCATGGTTTTGCAGACTTCGCCAATGGCAGTTGAATCCCTAAAGCGGTGGGTCTCAATTTTGGCCGCTTTAAGATGCGTGGGGTTTCAACACCACCAATACCCCCCCCCCCCCACCCGTCTGGGGATATTGGGGGGGTGGGGGGTGAATGGGGGGGGTATAAACCCCACGCATCTTAAAGCGGCCAAAATTGAGACCCACCGCTTTAGGGATTCAACTGCCATTGGCGAAGTCTGCAAAACCATGGCATGCGTTCAATCATTGGGCAGAGACTCCAAAGGCTGAGTTTGCTTGGCGCGATAAGCCCACCCCCCAAAAATTACACCAACCAGCAATCCTGGCTTGGGTCTTGGGGTTCCCCCTGCTCCAAACAGCACCTTTTGATCAGGACCTGAGCAGCAAAGAGGTGCCTCGCTGCCTCC